ACCTTAAATTATTTCTGCTCTAACATACAGTCAAGTATGTGCATAATTACCTATCAGCTGACCTGGTATTGCTCCTTGAAATCTGTTTCACAGGACCATAGCAACAGACAAAGCACTAAATCTTACATAAGATTAAAGGTTATGAAGATCTATTTTCTGTTCAGTTAACTACTTACTTCTCTCAGCAAACATTTACCTTTTTGTTGTGTTTCTCCTTTTTCCTTTTCTTTGATTTAGATTTAGGAGAATCTAAAAGAAAAAGAAAAGCTGCAATTTTAATATTCTGGATTTGTTTTTACATATAAAGTATCTAGAGCATAAAACATCCGAAAGATTCCATATGCAGTGTTTAAGAAGGAAATGCTTTAATTCAGATGAATATATAAAATACTGTCTGAAATTAATCCTAAGAAATGCAATGCATTAGCTTACTGTCACTTACTGATCTAACATGGACACTGAAAATACATGATTTCCTCAGTAAGCACTGAGTTCACAAGTAGGAATATTTTCAAAAAATAGTCTCAAACGCTTTGAATCGGTCCCTGAAGTAAACAAACAAGTCTACTAATTCCATATGGACATTAAATTCACTTCAAGAGAAGTGGAACTAAGTCTTTATTAATCTGTGACATTAAAAATATCCCCTTTTCTTCCTTCTCTACTTTAGCTATTCCAGCATTACCAAGTTGTGTACAAGTTAATGTGGCTTAACTGGGCTAATAATCTTAGTGAATACAACAAAAAACTCACCTTGGTGCTTAGCCTAATGTATCATATTCTAAAAGCGCAAATTATTTGCTTTACTTACAATAAAAATACAACATCAAAATAACACACTTTTTATATAATTAGCATTACATTTCCCTTAAAGACATGCATTGGAACCTTACAGAAAACTGCACTTACTTCCAGACTGTATTTTTTTCAAAGCACCGAAGTTACTCAGAGTAAGTATCAGCTTAATATGAAAAGTCTGAATCCTACAACATTTTGAATAAATGCCACCGTACTCAGCCATTCATGTTAATGTATCTTTCACAAGTCCTTATATTTAAATATTTGAAATTTCAAGGTCAAAGTAAGATCAAGGCAAAAACTTTAGTCTAGACAGCTTAAGTAGAAAAGGATCTATATTAACTTTATTTAAAACACGGAGAGCTTTAAATATATATGATAAATTGTTACAAAATAACATTTCTTTGAATGAAAGAAAATGCTTTTATTCCTGAAGGCGTTTAAATGAACACAGGAATGTGACATACAGTGTGAAAGGAGATCCCTTAACACCGTCAAAGGTTGTATCGACAACAGTCTGAACATGCAATATCTGTAATTATTACTCTGTAGCAATTTAGCTGCAGTTAAAATAAGCTGTAGATGTTCCTGAGAAGGCAATCGATGGCAACCACCATTTGTGCCCCTGAAAGTACCCAGGAGAGCTTACCTCTGCTACTGGAAGAAGACCTCGATGATGAACGTGACGAAGAGGAGGAGGAGGATGTCGTGGAGGTACTAGACGATGATGTGGATGACACTGATGATGATCTGCTTCTACTACGTTTTCGTTTCCTTTTTTCTTTTCCTTAATATGACACAAGGCAAGGCAGCAGTGACAAGCATGCAAACAAGTGTGATCTACAAAGATGACTTTTCACACGAATTAAACACCGCAGATCTCTTATCTTTGAGGGCATTTCCTGATCTCTCCTCGTGTGTCATTGTCTAACGCCATCAGCAAGCGACAACGCTGGAAATGACACTCAAACACGTCACCTCACCTATGGGGTGGAATGGATAACTTGAGTGCGCAGTAGCAGCGCGACACCTACCTCGGGCTTTCAGGTCTTCTTGTGACGGTGCACACAGCGACCTGCTCCTCTCCTCCTTCCTGCTGGCCATGCCTGCAGACACAAGCACATTCAACAGCTTCGTTCCCCAAGGCCTTGGGGCAGCGGGAGCAAAGGGGCAGCCTCACAAGACCTTCATCATTCCGCACAGCGCACCTCATGCACTGCAGCAGAGCCTTGCTTGGGGCTCGTAAATCAGGCACTGGGGGACAAAACTTTGAGTTCACCGTGACTTCTTGTGAGCGTGAGGCTAGTGAAAATGCTTGGGGG